ATCTCATCAACTGATGAAGGCTGGAGGCCCCATTTACATGCTGATTATTGTCTTCATTTTTGTTGTGGTCATCACGATGTTTCGGCAGTTGTGCCTTCTGGCCTTCATCAGGGGATTGTCAATTCAGGTATCCTTCAGAGAATTTCAAACTGAGCCCTTTATTTAATCTACAGGAGTTGATTGTTCTCATTCCACTGTCTAGGGATATCTTGTCTATTTCTTATTTAGTACTGCTCGGTTATGGCTCTCTCCTTTTTCCACTGAGTCTAAGTCTGCTCTACCAAGCCCAGGGATTGAACTTTGAATTACTATATCATCAAATTCATGAACCAATACTTTAATCCACTTGGCCATTGTTCTGTAAGGACAATCCTGAGTGTAGAACTTGGAGCCTTGACTGTATTCACCAAGAATTCTTTTTTTTTTTTTACAGCAGCTGCTGCTACTACTGTAACATTGTCATTACTTTTTCTTTAACAGCTCTCATATGCAGGGTGTCACAAAAAATTTGAGACCATTGCGTAGGCCAATAATTTTGACAGTTCTTGTTTAAATAACCTCAAATTTTCACAGAATGTATAGAAACAGATCAAGATTTTATATTTAATGGAAGAGGATAGTACATGCTTATTTCAATGAGAATCTGCCATAAAGATGCATTGGGCAAGGTGGAGATGAAGACAGTTTTCTGATCAAATGGCCACCACAGCCACCGAACATGTCCCCATGTGATTTCTTTTTATGGGGATATGTAAAGGGACTGGTCTATGTCCCTCCACCTCTTCTTGCTAGCATTGATGAACTCAAACAGAGAATCACTTCCGCACTGGATAATGTTACCGGAGGCATGCTACAACGTGTTTGGCAAGAGCTTAACTACTGACTTGACGTGTGCCATGTTGCAGGTGGTGCACATAGTGAACACTTATGAAATCAGTCCCATAATAAACTTATGATGTTCAACACACAAACTGTTCATTTCATTGAGCTAAGACTTAATAGTTTTCAAGATAATTGCTTTTAAAAGGATGTCAAATTTTCAGGGGACACCCTGTATTTATTTCTATACTAGTTCTATGAAGGAGCTCCTCATAGCTTAACAGAACAGTCAACATCCGTAGAAGGTTTCAGTTTAAAACACCCTGAAGGTTACTCAGATCAACAGATATCTGAAGAAGGCTGGCAGACACAAAGGCTGAAACATTGTGATAATAACAACAAAGATGAAAACAATAGTCCAAGTGTAAATGATATAAATAAAGACCAAGATGTATGAAAGCATTTATGTCTTTATTTAGAGTGAGACAGCTGCAGGCATGAATTGTAAACCCTTGACATTTTTTTGCATAATTTTTTGCCATTATTTTTAATGATTATAAATAAAAAGGAATACTGAATAAAACTTGTGCAACTATATCTTTCCTTCTTAGTAAAAATTAGTGAGCCTTGATGTTTTACAACAAAGAACAACCCAAGTTTTCAGTTTCAGGTGGAAGACAAAGTATGACTCACCTGGACACAAAATGAATACGTTTGGATATTTCCTAATGTCTGCAGTTTTTAATGGGTGGCTTGTCATTTTCTGGAAGATTTACATTAAACCTTTTGAACTGGGTTTCATATCACACACACACACACACACACACACATTTAAAATTCTGTGAATTCTGTTAGACCGTCCATCCGTCAAACCCTTTAAAATAGCCATATATTGACCGATCAAAACCAGATTTTAGGGAGACATGCAAACAAGTAAGAGGGTACAAAGTACAGTTGGTTTTACTAAGGTCCATAGCTTAGTACAACAAATTTTCATTTTCTTTTTTAGAAAAATTAAATGTTTTATTATTTAACATATAAAATACTCTCACTATTTTAATGGGATGTGGATAAATGGAAGAAAGTGTTGTTTTCAGACAAGAATAAATTCAATCTTGATGGCCCAGATTCTTTTCAGAATTACTGACATGCAAAAGATGTCCCAAAAGAAATTTTCTCAATACGACACAGTAGAGATGGATTAAATATGATCTGGGGTTCATTTTTGTAAAATGTAACTCCTGAGTTACAGGAGTTAAAAGGTCGTCAAACAGCTGCTAGTTGCATTGACATGTTAAGAAAGACATCACTAATTACTGAAGGCCTTCATCTATGTGGAGAAAACTGGAATCCACAACACTCTCCAGATTGAAACCCAATTGAGACTGTTTGGAGATGGATGGCAAAGGATATTTATAAACATGGATTGCAATTTGAAACTGGATGTTCTTCATGCTGTAGTTTATGCATCCTGGGCAAGCATCCCAAGTAACCCTCATGTAGAAGTTAATAATGAATATGCCAAAGTGAATTTTCTATGTAATTCACAAAAATGGAGGGTATACTGAGAATTAAATTGTCGTTGTGACTTATTTGTTCTGTGTTTGCTATTTTTATTTGCATGGTCTTATCTTTATAACCAACCAAAACAAATCTGTTTTTTCAATGTTTGTTTAAATTAATTAATTAAAAGCTTAAAATGTTCACTTGTTTGCTGATAAACTACATTTTCTAATTAAATGTAAATATTTTGCAAATATATTTTGATTAAAGTAACAGTATTTTTAACTCTTTTGTATCTGGTCTTAAGATTTTGACCAGGGGTGTATGTATGTATGTATATATGAATTTGTATGCATTTGAGTGTAGGTGTATAGGTATTTGTATATGTATGTAATAATTCCCAACAGGAATTGAGTCTGCTGGAGATTCTTCTGTGTTTCTGGAGAAGTCAAGATTCCATATTCAAGCAAGCTGGAGTTATCTGCTATGTTGCTATTCCCACAAAAGGGAAACAGCGTTCCTGTTTTTTTTTTGAATTGAGCCAGAGATAGTTTATTTCTGGTGAAGATATATTTCCATTGGGAAATGGCACCATGGGCTTGTAAACTGCATCATGTGAGTTGGCTAGGGGAGGCAGATTTAGCCTACATCTGGGTAAGGTAAGGGCTTCACCTGTGTAAAAAAAAAAAAAAAAAAAAAAAGCAACCGCTACTGCCACTTTCATCACTATGCAGTCATGTTACTAAGCAGCTGTCACATGACCCATGTGACTTCATCTCCACCAAAGAGAGATAATCACCTTTTGTATCCCTACAAAATAATCAAACCGTGTTTATCTTCAACCTCTCTCTCAATATACCATGTTCCTTGGGTCTGCAGACAATAATAGACCATAGAAAAAGAAAGTTTCCGAGTAAGTTTATCAACCTAAAAACAAAGCTTTACTTTTCTCTCTAAAATGAATTTTTAGGTGTAATGATGAATTTTTCTCTGAAGGTCAATTTGCCCAGGTGAACTTTTAACTCTGATATTTATTCTTTTAGTAAAATCTCATAAGTTTATATTGTCATTCTTTTCTTTCTCTTTCTCTTTCTTTTATGTCTTTCTTTTTTGTTATATTTCTTTCATTCTTCACTATCTGTCTATATTTCTGAGATGAGGTATTATGTACACTATTTACATTATTCGAACTATTATCCTCATCTTTGTTGCTATATTTATTACAATATTTCAGCCCTTCAGTATCTGTCTATATTTCTGAGATGAGGTATTATGTACACTATTTACATTATTCGAACTATTATCCTCATCTTTGTTGCTATATTTATTACAATATTTCAGCCCTTCAGTATCTGTCTATATTTCTGAGATGAGGTATTATGTACACTATTTACATTATTCGAACTATTATCCTCATCTTTGTTGCTATATTTATTACAATATTTCCAGCCCTTCAGTATCTGTCTATATTTCTGAGATGAGGTATTATGTACACTATTTACATTATTCGAACTATTATCCTCATCTTTGTTGCTATATTTATTACAATATTTCAGCCCTTCAGTATCTGTCTATATTTCTGAGATGAGGTATTATGTACACTATTTACATTATTCAAACTATTATCCTCATCTTTGTTGCTATATTTTCTTTACAATATTTCAGCCCTTCAGTATCTGTCTATATTTCTGAGATGAGGTATTATGTACACTATTTACATTATTCGAACTATTATCCTCATCTTTGTTGCTATATTTATTACAATATTTCAGCCCTTCAGTATCTGTCTATATTTCTGAGATGAGGTATTATGTACACTATTTACATTATTCAACTATTATCCTCATCTTTGTTGCTATATTTATTACAATATTTCAGCCCTTCAGTATCTGTCTATATTTCTGAGATGAGGTATTATGTACACTATTTACATTATTCAAACTATTATCCTCATCTTTGTTGCTATATTTATTACAATATTTCAGCCCTTCAGTATCTGTCTATATTTCTGAGATGAGGTATTATGTACACTATTTACATTATTCGAACTATTATCCTCATCTTTGTTGCTATATTTATTACAATATTTCAGCCCTTCAGTATCTGTCTATATTTCTGAGATGAGGTATTATGTACACTATTTACATTATTCAAACTATTATCCTCATCTTTGTTGCTATATTTATTACAATATTTCAGCCCTTCAGTATCTGTCTATATTTCTGAGATGAGGTATTATGTACACTATTTACATTATTCGAACTATTATCCTCATCTTGAAGAAGTCCGGAGCGTACAATAGCCGAAACATTGTAATAAATATGGTGACAAAGATGAGGACAATAGTCCAAATAATGTAAATAGTGTTCTTTCTTTCTTTTAAACTTTTCTCCCTCTCTCGTTTTCTTATGTCTTTCTTTTTTGTCATATTTCTTTCTTTCTTTTAAACTTTTCGTTCTTTCTCCTTCTTTCTTTAATGCCTTCTTTTTCTTTCTTTTGTGCCTTTGTTGTGGTATTCCTTTCTTTCTTTTTTGACTTGCATTCTTTTTCATGCCTTTCTTTTTTTATTTCTGTTTTCCGCCTCCTTCCTTTCTTTTTTCATGCCTTCCTTTATTGCCTTTCTTTCTTTCAAGTTAAACATTCATTCTTTTTCTTTTATAACTTCCATCATTTCTTTCATGTTTCCCTCTCTCTGTTCCTCTCTTTCATGTCTCTCTCTCTCTGTTCCTCTCTTTCATGTCTCTCTCTCTCTCTGTTCCTCTCTTTCATGTCTCTCTCTCTCTCTGTTCCTCTCTTTCATGTCTTCCTCTCTCTATTCCTCTCTTTCATGTCTTCCTCTCTCTATTCCTCTCTTTCATGTCTTCCTCTCTCTATTCCTCTCTTTCATGTCTTCCTCTCTCTTTCATGTCTTCCTCTCTCTTTCATGTCTTCCTCTCTCTTTCATGTCTTCCTCTCTCTTTCATGTCTTCCTCTCTCTTTCATGTCTTCCTCTCTCTATTCCTTTCTTTCATGTCTTCCTCTCTCTATTCCTTACTTTCATGTCTTTCTTTGTCTCTATTCCTCTCTTTCATGTCTTTCCGCTCTCTATTCCTCTTTCGCTCATGTCTTTCTGCTTCTATTCCTCTCTTTTTAATGGATTCCTCTCTCTTTCATGTCTTTCTCTCTCTTTCATGTCTTCCTCTCTCTTTCATGTCTTCCTCTCTCTATTCCTCTCTTTCATGTCTTCCTCTCTCTATTCCTCTCTTTCATGTCTTCCTCTCTCTATTCCTCTCTTTCATGTCTTCCCTCTCTCTTTCAAATCAATCCCAAAAATCATGTCTTCCTCTCTCTTCCTCTCTCTATTCCTCTCTTTCATGTCTTCCTCTCTCTTTCATGTCTTCCTCTCTCTATTCCTCTCTTTCATGTCTTCCTCTCTCTATTCCTCTCTTTCATGCCTTTCTTTTTTTCTCTCTTTCATTTGTTTGTTTCTTGCAACAATGAATTTTATTCAATCATTTACACAAAATTTGACATGCAGCATTTGTGAACAATTGCAGCCCCATTTTCTCCTCATCCTCTCTACATGTTTCTCCCATTGTCCTCCTCCTTTACACCCAAGCAGGAATCAGATATAAACCCAGACAATCAAAAAAATTCTAATTGATAAAAAAAAAATGTGGGAGCTGACAAACAGAATTGTTACCAAACATATTTTGACAAAACGGTTATAAATCTCTACAACTGAGTAAATAAGATATCATTTTGGATGCTTCTTGGGTCATATGTCTAAATAGGTTCTGAATACAAACTGCAGTTTCTAAGAAGAGCTAAAATGAACAATTATGAGAAAAGAGTATATTAACTGTTAAAGAAATCAATCCCAACAAATATTGAAATCAATCATTAACAGTTTCTTTTCTCACACTTCTCGCTTGTAGAACTCACTTCTGGCTTTACACTTTCCAGCCAACTTTAATCTGCAAAAATTTAAATGCAATGTCAATCGCTATCTACTGCCCTCCTGATTACTCTTTTCTCTTTCCTATCATTATTAATGTTTCTGTTCCTAATTCTTCCATACCCTGTAACTTTTTGCGTCTTAGTGGCTTTACTGCTTTGCATGGGGTGATACTGATTTTAAAAAGAAAATCATAGATATCAATCGCAGCAAATATCCCAAATCAAAAATTGAAATTAATCGATACAAATATACTGAATGATTTGTAAAAGAAATGACAATATATTTTTCCAATCGTAAAATATCAATCAAGTTTATCCATTGCAACAAATATTAGATCCATTATTTACATTATTCGGACTATTGTCCTCATCTTTGTCACCATATTTATTACGTTTCAGCCAATGTACACTCCGGTCTTCTTCAGGTGGTTGGAATGTCGAACTGAACCCTTTATTTCGCTCACTGGGGTAGACTGTTCTAGTTCCATGTGCCATGTTTAATGGATGTCAGTTATCTCCTGTTAATTTCCCTCTGAAAGTTCTCCACTGCCTTAACCGGGTATTGAACTCACACTCTTTGGGTCCTGTCACTGGATCTAACTAACGTCTTTATCCACTGTGCCATTTGTCCTCAAGTCAATCACATCAAATACTTTAAGTGATCAATTAAAGAAATCAATTCAAACAAATACTACAAGTCATAAATACTACAAAACAATCATTAAAAATCAATCATAGCAAATACTCTAAATGATCAGTTAAAGAAATCAATCCCAACAAATCACTCACAACATATATTCTAAACTAATCATAAAATCAATAGCAGAAATCAATAACAATACTTTAAATCAGCCAGTTAACAAAATCAATCACAATTCTTCAAATTAATCATCATTTAAGTAAATCACAGAATTACAGCAATTTACTGAAAGTTTGTTTATTTTATTAACACCTCCACTCAATGTATTATATATATATATATATATATATATATATATATATATGCATACATACACACACTATTATTTTAGCATTATGTTTAGCGGATACCTATATCTGAATAGACACTCCATTTATTAAACAGTATATTTATTGATTTTTGTCTACTGGCTTGAATATTCAAGAAATCTTATAAAAGAAAAGTTATGCCTTTAGTAAGATATTTTGAATATTCAGGTTGTTAGATGAAAATCAATAAATATACTGTTTAGTAAATGAATGGAGTATCTACTCAAATAGGAGTATCCTTTAAAATTTCGAAATAATTTCATTTTTGTGTATGTATATATATACATATATATATATATATATATATAATCTAACATCTAATGTAGACCTGTTTAACAGGTGTAATATTGGAGGGATCAAGACTTTTTTCATACAGTCTCGGTTATGGTGGACTGGTCATGTCTTGAGAATGTCTGATGACAGGATACCCAAGATCCTAATGTACAGCCAGTTAGATCATGGCTACAGGAATGTAGGACACCCATGGCTAAGATACAAAGACAAGCTGAAAAGCAACTTGTCAGCAGTCAATATACCACATATCAATATACCCTTGAGCAGGTAGAATAGAGATCAACATGTTTTAGTGGACTTAGCAGTTTTCAATCTGCTTGTCTGAATAATCTTCAAGAAGCAAGAGCAAGATCTAAAAGATCAGTCAATCTAAAAGTGATCTTATCTCACAATCCTCACTCTTGCTCCATATGTAGCCTCCTTAGTAAATCACTGGCAGGTCTTAAGTGCCACTTAAGATTATTGCACAAAATTTCATAACTGAATCAATTAAGCTGTCAGATCCTCATACATCAAATCCGATGGGAGAGTCCATTATATATAGTATTGAATATTGAGTGCTGGTGTTAATAAAACAGTGCTCAATGTATAATGTCAGAGCTAAAATTTATACTAACATGGTAATTGCTAACTCATGTCTGAGTATGCCCATTGCTACATCTCTTTATGGAGAATATCTACTGATGTGCTGAACGAATGTGGCTCTTTAGCCCAGCAAGGGACCTACATACTCTGGCATAAACAAGGCACTTAATAGGTGCAACAGTGGGTGTTACATTATCATGCTATTTAAAATGTCACATGAGACTGCTTATGGATCCGCATGTCTTACCGCAAATATCACATTTCAGTTGCTAGATGTCTGTGGTTTTATAGTCAATTGCCACCTTCCATCATTGTGGGCTCTCAAGTGACTCCTCAGGCCAGCCATTGACAAATACACTCTACCACACTCTGTACACATCAGGTCGAGCTGCTGCAGGTGTCTTCAGAAAGTTCAATGGGGGACGCCTTTATGCACGTCTCTTTTAAGCTTTGCATGCCTCCTCTTCAAAGTGACACCCTCCACTCTGAGCAGCCTCATTCCAATTATTGCGATCAGATTCACATTCTTCCCAGTGCTCACAAGGAATGTTGCATTTCTTCAGTGCATCTTAATAACATACATACATACATTTTGTTTGGCAATGGTAATTGTGTGTGAAACTCAGAGTTGTACGACCAGTGAAGAACTATATATATATATATATATATATATATCAGGAACAGTATTGGGGAAAGTGTATGACAAAGTGGAAAAAATTTACTTGTGACATGTGGCAGATGTGGAATATCTACTTGAAAAAGTGATGGGGAAAAAAAAAGAAAAAGACTCTAAATGAATTCAGCTAGAAAAAATTCTAAAATTCCCAGCCCCCGCTCTTCTGTTGAGCGCATGTGTAGTCCTACCAACATAACAAATTTTATCCAATGAAGTCCTGAAGGACAAAACATGTCACAAGTAAACTTTTCCACTTTGTCATACAATTTTCCCAATACTGTTCTTGATATATGAAAATATGTATCATTATCTAAAAATAAAAATTCTAATAATCTTTATTAATATAGAAAAGGAAGAAAATGTCTAAGTTCATCAACTTAAGAAAGGATTTAATAAAACAATAATTGTCTTTAATTATAACAAAAAGGAATTTCATTAAAATTACATGCAGAGACACAATAATAAAATGTGGCTGGCAGCCATTTTGGAATGACTATCAAATCTAGAAATAAGGTGCGTACAATATCTGTCAAGAAATTAAAAAAAAAAAATATTACTTGATTAAAAAAATGGCTTCCAGTCAAACTAAATTTAGGCATTTGCTAAAATTAAAAAGTCACTGGTTTGAAAAGAAATAGAAACAATGTTTAATAAAGCATGTTCGATGGAGGAAATGTTATAGTGAAACACTATGAATTTACTTTATTGGTTAGATTTGGTCTTTGACAAAGCCGTCAGTTAAAACAATTTGTGCATTCAACCAGGCTTCTCCAGGGCAAAAGGGAAATCTGTTTCATTAGTTTAGGTTTGCTTTATGGCATATCAACACTTTAATGGGTTATTTAATGCCTACAAATTTTGAGGATATGTTCGTATGAAGAGAATATCTATTATTCGTAAGAAATCAGTTTGTAAATGAGGTTTCACTTGCATATCTTTATAAATAGGATTTTTATTGAGAACCAAATGTATTGGCGATAAAAAATTTTTTTTTAAATTTATTGTTGAAAGATTTTTTTTTTTTGTCAAAACTGTATAGCTGGTAATTTTTTTTTTTTTCAAAAAATGTATTGCTGGTATCATAGTGTTTGAAGGTTAAATATTTGCCCATAGCTGGGACCCTAACAGGTGCTACCACTCTGGGTTTGGGGACACCTAGGAACAACAGGAATTAAGATGTGGTTCTATGCTACTCAAAACCTCCAATATCCCAATCAGAGGTGTAGTTTATCATCATATCCAAGATTAGATTAGCTTAAGAAATATGTATTGCTGGTATTTTTATACTTTCATAGTGTTTTGTTTGGGGAGGTTCACTATGTACCCATAGCTAGGACCCTAACAGGTGCTACTACCACAGTTCAGGTGGTCCAGGGAATAACAGCAATTAAGAGATGGTTCCATGCTCCTCAAAACCTCGAATATCCCAATCAGAGGCCTTGCTGCTGGGTGTAGTTTATCATCATACTCAGGCCAAGGAAATGTGTTTGAATTTCACTGGATGCATCAGTTTTCTCTCTGATTATGCAGTGTATAAACACTGCAGTAGATTGACAGCCTAAGTAGAAGTTGCAATAAAAACTAACTTAAAATTAAGATGAATGTAAATGCTAGACAAAACAAATTAATGATTGTGAAGTTTGGCCTGGGGGATAAATTCTTGATGCACAATTGTCAAAAAAAAAAAAAAACCCAATGAGCATGCTCTTGCACAACAAAATCACAGGCTACAATATACATGCGATTGCAAATTTCACAACTTGCAAAGTGAACACAGCAATGTCACTTGGTACACTGGCACACAAAGGTTATTACTAACTCTCACTGCATATGCAACCATCTGTTCGCATGTGACAGAACTAGTCTTGAAACTTTTCAATACCACCTTGTATATTTGCCTACATATAGTTTTATAAATGTAAAAGACAATAGGAAAACTAATAGTAGCCGATGTGTTTCATCCAATATAGACTTTTTCATGGTAAAAGCGAAATAAATTTATTAAACAAAGTAACTAATAATAACAAAACAAAATGTCCTTAGCAACTGGAAGAATTTAGAGAACGCTATTTTCATACTGTTAACTGAAAATTAAATCAATTACTGTCACAT